AACTGGCGAATCAGGCGAACCTGATAGAAAGCTCCCCTGGCCACGGCTGTCGTATGCTCTTCTAAAGACAGCCGCGTGTCCAGGAGGACACCCAAGTTGCAAGCCCTCTCCGTGGGGGCCAATGACTCGCCCCCAATAGTCAGCGATGGTATCAGCTGGCTATATCGGGACGCCGGCAGCCACAGCCACTTGGTCTTGGAAGGGTTGAGTCGGAGCCTGTTTCTCCCCATCCAGATCCGCACGGCTTCGAGGCACTGGGACATCACTGCAAGGGCATCATTGGGGTGGTCTGGGGTGGAGATGTACAGCTGAGTATCATCAGCATAAAGATGGCACTGCACCCCAAAACCATGGATGAGCTCACCCAGCGGCTTCACATAAATGTTGAACAGAAGAGGTGAGAGGACCGACCCCTGCGGCACCCCACAAATAAGTTGTCTTGAAGTCGACCTCTGCCCTCCTGCCAACACAGACTGCGACCGGTCAGAGAGATAGGAGGAGAACCACTGTAGAACAGGGCCTCCCACTCCCAGCCCCTCCAGCCGGCGCAGCAAGATACCATGGTCAATGGTGTCAAAAGCCGCTGAGAGATCTAATAGAACTAGGATAGAGGAGCAACCCCTATCTCGAGCTCTCCAGAGATCATCAACCAATGCGACCAATGCCGTTTCAGTGCTGTAACCAGGCCTGAAGCCGGACTGGAACGGATCTAAGTAGACCGTTTCATCCAGGTACTGCGGGAGTTGCTGTGCCACCACACTCTCAACAACCTTTGCCACAAAGCGAAGGTTGGAGACAGGACGGTAGTTTGCTAGAATAGCCGGGTCCAGAGAGGGCTTCTTGAGGAGGGGTCTCACCACCGCCTCTTTCAAGGCGGAAGGCAAGAAACCCTCACACAGAGAAGCGTTTATAATCCTCTGGAGCCAGCCTCGTGTAACCTCTCGGGAAGTCAGTACCAACCAGGAGGGACACGGGTCCAATAAACATGTGGTTGCGTTTAACTTTCCCAGTAACCTGTCCACGTCTTCAGCGGTCACAGGGTCAAACTCATCCCAAATAACATCCTCAAGACTCGTCTCCATCACTTTGTCTGAAGTTACCCAGTCCGAGTCCAAGTCTTCCCGAATTTGAGCGATTTTATCGTGTAGATATTGTGCAAAATCCTCAGCTCGACCTTGCAAGGGGTCTTCCCGTGCTCCCAGATGGAGGAGGGAGTGGGTTACCTTAAACGAGGTGGCTGGGCGATTATCTGCCGATGCAATAATAGCGGAAAAATAGTTATATTTTGCCGCTGCTATCGCCACTAAGTAGGTCTTAATATATGACCTCACTAGTGTTTGGTCAGATTCGGAATGACTGGTTCTCCAACTACTCTCTAAGCGTCTTTTCTGGCATTTCATTTCCCTCAACTCCTCGGAAAACCATGGAGCCGGGCAACTTCGACGCTGGGTCAGAGGCCGCAAAGGCACAACTCTATCCAAGGCACCAGCAGCCATCCTATCCCAGGTTGCCGCCAGGTCTTCAATCGAGTTGTGAGCTAGAGTCTCAGGAAATGGCCCAAGCTCCATCTGGAATCTATCAGGATCCATCAGGCGTCTGGGGCGGAACCATTTAATCGGTTCCGCCTCCCTGCGGTGGGGTGTAGCGGACAGAAAGTCAAGCCTAAGGAGAGAATGGTCTGACCATGACAAGGGTTCGATGACTATATCCCCTATATCTAGGCCATTCAACCACTGGTCAGATACAAAAATCAAGTCCAGAGTGTGTCCCCCCATGTGAGTAGGGCCATGAACTAACTGGGTCAGGTCCATGGCCGTCATGGAAGCCATGAACTCCCGAGCTGCTTCAGATGTTTCACCGATGGACGGCAGATTGAAATCTCCCATGACAAGAAGCCTAGGAGTCTCAACTGCCACCCCGGCTATTACATTGAGGAGATCAGGCAGGGCTGCTGCTACGTGGCAGGGAGCCAGGTACGTAATCAGCAGGCCCATCTGTAACCCATGACCCCACTTCACGAGGAGGGACTCACATCCGACTGTCTAAGGAACAGTGGCTTCCCTAGGATCAAGACTCTCCTTTATAATAACCGCCACCCCTCCACCCCTAACTTAACTAACTTACTAACTTAACCACTGCAGTGATTCACTTAACAACTGAGGCAAGGTCATAAAATGGGGCAAAATTCACTTAAATGTCTCACATAACAACAGACATCAATTGTGGTCGTTAAGTCGAGGACTACCTGTATTGGCTTTTTCTAAAGTTTCCTTAATACTGGTATTAGTAATTTAATTTATGCTATGATTTATTCTGTTGCTACCATTGGTAAATAAGCAGAAGTCAAAAAATCTTGCCAATCTACAAGATATACTAAATCCAGGTGTTCTGCCCAGCCTTGCTTTATATTTTCTTTGAATACATGCCAGTATAAGGAAAGGGAACCCCCCCCAATCTTCATTATTTTATTAATATGAATACACGAACTATTTTGTTATTTAAATATTGTAAATATTTAGACGAATTGTGAGGTTCTGACTTTTTACCCAGCCTTTGGTGAACGAGACCTTACTTTTATCACACTTGCTATTGTTTTTTTTTTTGGTTGTTGTTGTTGGGAGTCAGGCAGCATACAGGTTTAATAAAATATGTGGAAAAACAGCAGCATAAGCTCACTGTACGAAAAAGTACAGAGCTTGTTACTAATAGTTGAGACTGGATTTCAGAAAGGCACTTTAATTCACATAGAAAATATTTTCAAATAGATTTTTTTTCATGTATGTTACAAGCTAGAGTACCATTTGACTTTCAATAGTTGTAACCAAACTGATTTGCATTTAAAAGTTAAAACTTAGTTCTGTGCCATCAAGATTTTGCAATTGGACAATTGCAGTAGTTGGGAACTCTCCATACTGTGTGATTGGTTTTTATACTTTTTCTTTCATAGGACTCTAATTCAGTCACTTTTAATTTTTTGGGGGTGGGACACTGGCCCATCTTGTTCATGTTGAACTTCTATCCTTGGCTTTGGTTTAGAGCAGAGTTGTCAAACTCAAGGCCCATGGGCCGAATCCAGCTCGTGGGGCCAGCCTGGAAATAGCAAAGGACTGGCCCGCGGGGCCTCTAGCAGCCAAAATGGGGCACAGAGGGGTCACATACGGTCCCCTGCACTCCATTTTCAGCCTGGATGGCAGTTTTTGCCCTGCATAACACTGTTTTGGCTGGCAGGATGCTGCAGGAGGTGTCTATCCCGTCTCCCCCCACCCCAGCTGGCCTGCGGAGAACAATGCTGATCAGGCCCTCAAAGAAATCCATTTGACACCCCTGGTTTAGAGGAATCTTTTAAAGTAATGTAATAATTTGCAGTTGAGTACCAAGATGTCACTGTATAAGCCTTCGGTGTAGTATACCCATGCAATAATATAAATATGCTGCTATCCTGAAATGCACAATTGATGACAATAAATGTCCTGAGAATTCACTTGCTATTTAGGTCATTGGTTACATATAATGGCACTTCACTCAGGCAGAGGACCAGTATTTATTTATTCTCTATTTCACAGCTACTGCAGCTTTCTTCTGTAAAGATAATCTAGAGCTTTGACAACTTGTTGTTTGGGTGGAGGGGAAGATAGGAATGGAAAAATTAAGTGATGCTGCATTTCAAAAGCTGGAGGGTATAACTCATCATGCATTTCCTCTTAACCGAGGAAGACAGACTATAAAGGCAGATAGGAAGATGCTTCATATCCTCTATTTTGTATGAAGACAGGGAAAAACTGAAGTTTTGATGTGTGCAACAGTTTCATAAAATATTATCCATGACCCCATATCCCATATTAGGTTTTCTAAAACTTCTGGAATATGCTGTCTTAATACTTCAAAACATGGTAATTAAAAATATACTATTTTGTAGAAGCACTGCATTACTGAGGTTTCATACATCTAAGTCACTGCAGACATTAACACAGATGGCCATTTTTGGTCTCTTAAGTATATTATATGACAAATAATTTGTCAATTTATTTGAATACTGGTTTACTACTAGGTTTTTTTACAATTTGATGTCGTCAAGATACAGTGGTGCTGTGTATATTTTTGACTCATTTGTTTAATTTGGTTCTTTTTATCTAGTTTTGGGAAGTGGAAGACAGATCATATTTTAAACTAAAGTATATAAACAGATCATGTTTATACCAAAATACCGAACAACTGCTACGGACCCTGTAACCCTCAGACAATTTGAGAAGGGCAAGAATAAAAATTGCAATAGGCAACAATCAATATTCTCTATTTATCATTGTCTCTTCAGATATGCCTGAAACCCTGACAGGAAAATTTGTCAGCTATCTTGAGTTTAATTGAGGAAAAATGCATTCCATATTTTTCAGACAATGGTTTATACGGCTTACATGGTGATAAGCAGTATTAATCAGAGAGGATGCCAGTCAGAATTTTTCTGTTAGTGGATGGAACAAATTTCCTCAACTTCCAGAATTATCAGAGGATCAATTCAGTAGGATCAGGATAACCATTATAGTATTTTTTCCAGTGAATACTGGGGCTAGAGGAGAAACTGGATAGAAAGTTGTCTGGAAAGTTGTCTTGTTTGCTTTATTATGGGGAAAGAAAGGGTAAGAATAATATTCCAATAAAGGAGAACATTTGTAGCTCAGGGTTGAAATGAGGGGTCCTTGATGCTCTCCGACTTGCTTGTTTTCTTGCAGATGTTTTATTACCCAAACTAGGTAACATCATCAGTGTTAGTAAGGAGAGCGGTTTGCTTTCAGTTTATATTTTATTTCTTTCTAAGAATAAGGATAATTTTCTTATGGCTGCCACCTGTACAGATTCATCCACTGCTGTAAGAACATATGGAAGTTTGAGTGGATATTCTATAAAATTGGATGTTTTCTCAGTATTTCTTAGATGCTTATGTAATCCACATTCACTTTACAATGTTCTATATTAGGGCTAAAAGCAGTGTTATGATGAGCAGGTAAAATTCCATTTCTTCTTTATTTAATCCATAGAATACACCATTTGTAGAATTTAAAAACTAGATAAAAGAGCATATTAAATGGCAGGTGTATGAAGTTTTTCCATAAACAATGTCTGAACAAAAAATCCAAATTACAAAATATTAAAAATATGTTGGTACATTAACATAGCATTCCACTAAAGCATAAAGATACAGGTATAAAGAAAAATTGTGCCACTTACCTATTTTTTTTTTGCTGTTTCTAGGAATGTTTTATTCTGTACATAGGACCATTCTGTACAAAATATGAAGTCTACATTTTTATTACTCATTACAATAAAACAAAGTACAATGTATGTACAATATTAAAATGAAGCCATACTAAAGCCACACAAAAGAAGACACTTGTAATTCTTTTGACATTCCTGATGTACAGGCATAAGGTTCTGGAGAACATGGGAAGATAGGTAACACTGAACTTTATGAAGAGTAACAATCACCAAAACTGTTTTTTTATTTTATTTATACACTTTATTTGGGATGTATTTGTTTTAACAATAATTTAATACATAACTTGTATAGAGCATAACATGGTGGTAAGAAGGAAGCCAAACAAATGAATACTACTAAATCTTAGTATTGCTTAGGCAAGTTTGTGAACTAGCCTGATATTTCTAGAACAAATTGTGATGGCAATAATGCTACCTGCTCCAGAATAGTTGATTTTTGGTGAATGTTTATCTTCAGTAAAGAGCAAAAGTAAAATTTAGACAGTGAAAAGATCTTATATGCTGAGCGTTACACAGTCAACCAAACATTGATATACAATATTTTCTCAATCCCCCATTCCCCAGGTTAAAATTAGACTGCATCTTCTCAAAATCCTCTTTCATGAACCTACTGAACAGCCAAATTATAAAGAAGATATTCGATAAATTATCAGCTAAAGATGGGAAGTTCAAACAATGGCATATCAAAATACATACAGACATTGCTTTATGCAATTATAAAAGCACCCTTTCCCCTCATCAAAATGGAGAAGACATATTTAAACTGCTTTTAATTATTTGTATTTCATTATGGCAAAGCATATTATTTATTTTCAAGTTTAACAGGTATTATTTTCACAAAAAATAGGTATTTTGTTTGAAGCTTGGAGTGGTATTTATATTCAGTTTTTTCTTATCACTAATTCCCATCATTCTCACCTGATATGATCTATTCTTAATTTTCACAATATACCTTGGACATTTCATATTTGAGACCAACCAGGGCCCTGGTCCCAAAATGCCTGCTTTGTAAAGTATTTATTATGGATCAAGATATATTTGTTAAAATAACTATTTTAAAGAAATTGCAAATTTTGTTAGTAGTAGAGATAAGAAAAGAAAAAAAAGTAACTTATTCTAAATCAAATTGATCTGAAACTGCTCTTGAGATACTAAGGTCTAAAATACTGGCTATCCTGGGGGCAATCAAATATTAAAGACAAAGCACAATACTTTTTTTGAAAATTTATTTGTGCTTTCCCATCTAGAAGAGATAAAAGAAAACTCATAACATGCAAGCTGTTTTGGAATACATAGCAGCATTTGAAGATCAACAGTAACACAGATGGATTTTCTTTTTTTCTTGAGGTGTGCATGGTCTAGACACTTATTTCATCAAAATATATACTGACAGCAGAATTACTATAACTAACTTCTCAGCTTTTAAAATAGGTATCTGAAACTGTTGGAATGCGATTAGAGGGGATTTTTCAATGCTAAATTTTCCAAGATGCATCCCTCTAAACAATAACATCCAGGGAAATGTATCCAAAATAATCTATGTCCTGATGTCTGTAAGTATTCTTAGCAGGTAACATATTCCATACACTAAAAACGTTAAAAAAAAAGAGACAAACGGGAAAGCCATTTTGATAAATAATTCTAAAACCAAAAAATAGATGCAATTACTTTAAAAATGCTATTTACTTTTAGCCCAGGCAGACATATTTTTATTTTTAGGAGCACAACTTCTCTACCCGCTCAGTTCCAAAATATTAATTTTGTACTTCATGCTAACGGACCAGAAAATATGGCTTCAATCCATACAAAGTACTCAACCAACGGTGTCTTCTATCTGGAACCAAATTTGGATTCAACCATTTCTCTAGAAATTAGACGTGATTAAGATTGTCATGAAAATTACCATTCTGTAATAAAGAATTATAACTTTCCAAACTGCCAGAATATATTAAGGCAGTAATGCAATTTTTTTTTCTCTTCAGGTATTTTTCTCCCCATATTTATAAAATGCTCAATAGTTATATATGAATTGAGAAATTTGACCATTGCCATGGTACCAATGGCAGGCAGAGATGGACAGAGGAAAGAGAAAGAAAATAATCTCCGTTCATCTGGCACTGGTCTTGTGCAACCTTCATTATTTCAGTGGACTTACATAAGAAAAGCCATGCAAGATCACTTCATCTTATCCTTGTTATAAGCTGATCGAAATAGGAAAAAACATGGAACTTCTGTGTAGATTGTCACATATGCATTTCATTGTATGCACGTGGATATTATGGACAAAAACCTGAAACTGCAACCGATTTAAATTTACTAGCACATGTATGGATATGAAACATGATAGACATTATCGTTTCATGCCTTTTTCTATATAGAGCTGCTTTTAATATACAAACAAATAATTATGTTTGAAGAGGCCTGAAATATCTGAATGGTTGCTCAGCAGCAGTGCTTGATAATTTGCTCTCCTCTCAACAATAACTGGAGAAAATGCATGCTTCCCACTGGTTGGTACTATGCCAACAGCACCAAGAAAATGTCTTTAATACTAATCAACTCAAGTTTCTTATTACAGAATTAGGTAATTCACCATTGTTTGAACTACTTATCTTGAGCTGTTTACACTGTATTGAAATTATTGCCTAACAGAATGGGGTTGAACAAAAGTTATGACTTGTGTGTAACTGATCAGTATGGCACAAAAAAAGGTAAGTTCTCTACTGCGGAACAGAGTCCAGAAAAAAATTGTTTTTCTCCAAATAAGATATCACTTGACTAGTCTAATGCCCATCATGTGATAGTAGATCCTCAGCTCGGCAATGAGACTCCAAGGCTTTCATGGTATAGATATCCTGAGGCAATTCAGACTTGCGCCGTACTATAGGACGTTCCCTTTTTTGCTCAGTCTGTCCCTGAAATCAAAAAAGCAATGTTTAAAGAAAACAAAGATTTCTTACACCAAAAAGTGCCTGGTTTTTATTTATTTATTTATTAATAAAATTTATGGGCCACCCACCATACCATAGGGTAGCTCTGGGCGGCTTACAGTTACATCTAAGTTAAAACATAAAAGATTAAAATCAAACATTAAGACTTGTTTTGTTTTAAACAAGAATGAAAAAGCAATATTTTTGGATTTTGCCATACCTTCTATGGCATTCCCCTGAAATTGTTTCTGTTTGTTTCCGATTCTTCAGGAAGCCATTCAGTACAAAGTTTATTTGCTCTATCTATTCCAGTGATGGCGAACCTTTTCAGCACCGAGTGCCCAAACAGGAACGTGTGCATGCCGGAGACCCAGAAACTCAAAGATCAGCTGGCCAGTGCGCATGCGCGCGCCAGAAACCAGAATAGCAGCTGGCGACAGCGCATGTGCCCACAAAGAAGGCTCTGCATGCCACTTCTGGCACACGTGCCACAGGTTCGCCATCATGGATCTATACCATATAGAGTAAGTAAGCTTATGTTGTAGCCACAGGTCATAACATACAGTGTGTCATAAAATACAATAAAATAACAGTAAAATACTAAGACTGTTTAGTAAGAGTATTAGATGTAAAATGGTCACAGCAAAACAAAGCCAAAGCTACAATTAGGAATTTAAATATTTCTTACTAAATTTTGATAACAACTTGGTTGTTGTCAAAACAACAACTTGCACATCAGTGCAAGAAAATAGTTGAATTTTCCAAGGTTGGGTCCCTTGAATTTACCTGCTGTCAGTAATTTGGCCTTAATCTCATTTTAAATGAGATTAAGTGAGATTAAATGAGATTATCATTTAAATAAGATTATCATTATCATTATGGATAATGTCATCTACTTGACCAAAACCATAAGGATAGAGATGATGTCCAACAGGCAGTTTGCAAAATTTCCTGTCAAGGTATATGGAGGGCATGGTCTGCAAGCAAAGGGATCTTAAAGCCTTTCTCAATGAAGCCCTGGTTATATTATCCAGGAATCTATACCATATGAACGTAAGTCCTCAGGGTACATTTACACTATTATCATGATACAATTACAGACTATCATTTAGTTTATACCCAAGTTGCTGGCCTCAACTGTGGTTGCTAAGCGAGGACTACTTGTATGTACCTGGTATAATGTAGGTGATAATAACCTTTAAGAGATAATGGATGCCCCCAATGACTCTGGTACATCTAGAAGGACTATAGTGAGATATATTATGGCCAGAATTGTGTAGTATTTGGTCACAAAGTGGTATAAGCAGTTCAGGTTTAGGATGGAGGCATTTGCTATATCTGTCAGCTGGGTCTTTTCCTGGTGTCTTATGAAAACCACAAAATACATGAAATTAATGAAGAGGGCAGGGGAGTGCAAATTCAAGGTCTGGTAACGTAAGTGGTGGGAGTTAATTTATCAGATCCTCTCAATAGGAACTATTTGAGCCAATGTGCCCAAGCAGAAGAGATTACAAGCATCTGTTTCTTCTCTCCTGTACTTAATCTTTATTCTCATGCCCTGCACTGATATTCAGTTTGTTGGCTACATACAAGTGTAACTTGTATTAAGTTGCACTCACAAGTTTTATTTACCATTTATGAAATGGTTAAATAAATATTTAAATGGCAATAGCACTTAGACTTATAAACCACTTCACAGTGCTTTACAGAGTTAACATATCGCCTCCAACAATCTGGGTCCTCATTTTACCAACCTCAGAAGGATGGGACGCTGAGTCAACCTTGAGCCCGTGAGAGTCGAACTGCTGGCAACTGGCAATAGTAGCCTGCAGTACTGCATTTTAACCACTGCACAACCATGGCTCTTTAATACTTAATATTCTTCACTAAATATTCTTATAAAGCACTGCACTCCAATAAGACTTACAAAGTTTTATAAATTAAGAACCATAATTTAAGAATGTGTTTTCAGTTGCATGCTCCTTAACTCTTGTTTTTGAACAATCAATAAGCATGGTGAAAAACAGGCAACACATCATATACCTGTGCTGACAAAGTACAAAAGCTAATGACACCCCCTTGCCTCCTGAGAAAATCAAACCACATATTCTTGTTCAGATATCACAGTTACAATCAGTCATCAAGTGAAAAACAAACCAGAGTTTTGAAGTGCTTTAAAATAATGATTTATTCAATAGCTCCATATACACATTATGACTGTAATGTTTCAGTAGTTATGGGTGTATTATTAACCTTTTTTTTTTCCTCTTAAGAATTTTAAGAGACATGAATATTACCAGGGTCCCAGACCTGGCATTCTTGACTGTTTTTTGTTTGTTGTTTGACAAGCCTTTAATGCTATACCCATTAGAAGCATTTATTTTAGTACTTATTTGTGCAAAAGAGTGAAAAGTTCAGCTATTACGATGTTGTTTTCCATCTTTTCTTCTTTATGATCTTGGGTAAAACTAATTAGAAGTAGCATGTTAGTTTATAAGATATAGCATAAATATACAATTATTCAATTCAAATACAAAAGTGGGACCAAATTTAGCATGTATTAAAACCATTCTGCTAACAAGCAAATGAAGTGATAATTTAAAAATTACTAAAATTATTCTGCTCATTTCAATTTCTTGCAATTTCAGAGACAAATTGTACAATTCATGAATAAATAGTTCTGAATCAAATTTGGAAGAAGTAATCTATTTCTCTCTCTTTCTCTCTCTCTACAGGTAGTCCTCAGTTAACAACCGCTCATTTAGTCACCATTCAAGGTTACAATGGTGCTGAAAGAGTGGTAATTATGACTGATCCTAAAAGCTCCAGCCATCTGAGCACCCTTGCAGTCACCTGATCATAATCTGGGCACATGGCAACCAGTTTGCACTTATAATGATTGCAGCATCCCGTAGTCACCTGATCACGATTTGCGACTTTCCCTGCAGTCCTCCCCACATGCAAAGTCAGTAGGAAAACTGGCAGGCAAGGTCGCAAGTTGCTTGGGTAAATCTCCCCCACCCATGCATCCTCCCTGAGCCTTACTGCACTTCCACTCCTCTTCCCTGGTCACTTGGGCACCCTCCCCAGTTATTCATGCACCCTCATGCACCGGTAAGCTTCCTCTATCTGACAGCAGCATCCCAAGTGTTGCTGAGCTCATGCTACACCTACTCACACATCCAGCAGCAGCCACTGCAAGCCCTGCATGCGTGCCTCACCTCCCTCCACCACCTGCACACATCTGGCAGCAGCCACCCCATACCCACTGCTCCTTTCACTTTGCATCTTCTCCCACCTGGCAATAGCCATTCAAACCCTGCTGTGCTCGCACCACGCCTCCCCTACTTTTTCCTACCCGGCAGCAGCCACTTACTTGTTTGCTAGCCTTCTTGCAAACTACCTCGGACTTGCAACTTCCACAGACTTTGGTTCTTGGAAGGCAGTAAGAAGCTACAGGGAGGTATTCACTGAATGACGCATAACCCTCCTTTAATGATGGCAATAATACAGGGATTGCCATAGCTAAGTGAAGTGGTCAGGTGATGTCACACTTTACAAGTGCATTGCTTAGCTACAGAAATCCCAGCTCCAAATGCTATCTTAACTGGAGGACTACCTGTATATGCTTACCGGACAAGCTTCTTCCTTCACTCCCTTTGTCAGCACCTGCATGTCTTCAATTAAAGGCCCATCTGTTTCCATTGCAACAGGACTGCTCACTAGAGAGGTGTCACTATATACTGAGTACTAACCAAATACAAAAAGTTAAGTCAGATTGTTTTTTTTTTATAGCAAATTTCAGATCCTTAAAATTGTTAGAAGCTACAACAATTTAGGCACTTCATTACCAGAAATGTTAACATTAGTCCATTTTTGGATGAACAAAGCATTTTGGCTTCAAATCAGAAATAAAATGTAACTCGATTTCTTAAAAACAAGAGATTTGACAAAGCTTCAGGGAGATTAAAAGGAAGAAATTTAAAGAGCATTTAATTTATGGAAATTCATTATTAGAGATATTGTCATGGCCATTAATTTTGATAGTTTTAAAAGGTTATTTAATAATGGAAAATGATCTTGTTGGTCATTACTAATTAGGGCAATAAAGAAATAGTGGAAAATAACTAAGAATTGCCATGGCTATAGATTTATGTGCAGCTAGGATCAAATGATACTCTGAATTCCATATGCTGCAGAGCAAGAATGGTGAAATCGGTTGTTTTTATGGATTTTTTTGTGGGGGGGGAATTCTAGGCTATCATATGGTTCCTATGGTCAATGGAAGTCATTAAAAGAGTAAATAAATGTTACTTTGGTAACCTTTATTCTTCCAGTGAGCTCTAAATTAAAATATTCATCCTCAGAGTGCCTTACCTGAGGATTTGATTTGGCTAGATTTTCTATTTTGACCCAAGCTTCTTCCCGTTCCTTCATTTTTAGCTTTTCCCTAGGGAGAAAAGGAACATTCACACATATTAGGCAATGTTTAATAAACATAAAGGAATTAAATTAACATTAAAATGATAGGAAATATGGAAACTTTTCACTTTTTTTAAAAAAAAATGTTGCATACATTATAAATAGAACAAACTCCTTTACAGTAAGGGAACAATAGATATTAGAATTATGGATAAACGATAATCCCAGAGAAAAAAGGGCAGGAAGCAGAGATTTAAACACCCACCCACCCACCCGCCCACACACACACTTTTGAACAACTGTTGTCTGAAGTGGTATAGGGTTTCCTGCCTAAGCAAGGGGTTGGACTAGAAGACCTCCAAGGTCCCTTCCAACTCTGTTATTCTATTGTCTAATTGATAATTATAGTATCAAGTCATTATATCTTTCAAGCAACACTTTTAGTTTTAAGCAATATATTATGTTATATAATGAATAAATATATTTAAGTACCGGTAATTAAATGTTTACAACTCTATTCTGATCTGCTCAAAATTTTCTTTGATGATCCTGAATTTTTTATTCATATAGCATAAGAAATTATTTGAATTTTATTCTCCAAAGATGTTTGAACTTGGAAGCCAAGGAGAGTAATACTTTTTGCAAACTAATTGCTTGTTTTACTACTTTTAATACGGGAAAGCATGACAAAGCAGATGAGATTGTTTGACAAACTGGAATCCTGACAATCCTGGTGACAGATGAGATGTTTTCTCACAATGTTTTTTTTTTTTGGGGGGGGGGGGGTTTAATGAGAAAAAAACTCAGACTTTTATCTATTTGTTTTATTGATTTGACATTTAGAGACCACCTATGTTGTTTGCTATGCCATGGGCGAATAGGCGGCAATATAAATTCAATCAATCAATTAATTCCTCACAGAGGGACTCTGGTGTAAAAATAAAATGTTAAAAATATAACAACTAAATATAGGATTTAAAAAAGCTAAGGATATTAAAAGTTGACATTGAAAGTTAATTAAAATTCTTTTCTTAAGAATTTTGTCTCAAAAGTCATTCCATTTTGAATCAAGACTGGTTTCACTTACCACTGAGTAAGTAGTGTGTACAGATAGTCCTTGACTTACAGCAGTTAATTTAATGACCGTTTAAAGTTACAACGGCATTGAAAAAGTGATTTATGAGCATTTTTCACATTTATGACCATTGCAGCAGTCCTGTGGTCATGTGATCAAAATTCAGATGCTTGTCAACTGACACATATTTATGATGGTTGCAGTGTTTCAGGGTCATGTGATCATCTTTTGTAAACTTCTGACAAGTAAAGTCAAAGGAGAAGCCAGATTCATGTAACAACCATGTTATTAACTTAACAACTGCAGTGATTCACTTAACAGTTGTGGCAAGAAAGGTCATAAAATGGAGCACTTAACAACTGTCTCGCTTAGCAACAGAAATTTGGGGTTCAATCGTGGTCATAAGTTGAAACTACCTATATCTACAGAAGTGCAATACAAAATTTATAACAAATACAACAGGATGTTTGCACAGGTCTAAAAAACGATAAATAAAGATGAGAACACGTTAAAAAGAAACTCACTTAAGTTTTTCTGCTTTAAATTGCTGAGTGCAGTCATCAAACAATTTTTGGTTCATTTCCATGAAGAGTTTCAGAGCATTGTAAATCAAGCCATGTATTGTCCTATAAAGTAAAACAATAGATTCAAAACAGATTCAGGCTTTGCAGTGCATATATTCACAAAAAGCCCCCAAAGCAAATGGATGTTTTCATTAGCTAAAAGTGGCACACAGAAACTAAAGATTCAATGAGGAATATAATACTTACGAATTCTGTGAATACACACCAATGTGTTCTGCATCTGTGCAGCTGAACATATCCCAGAGTTAGAATGTTTGGCAGGAAACTGCCATCTTGCCCACTACATATGCACTGGGAATGGTTTCTGCTGATTCTGTTAGTTGCTGTGGAGATATCCTCAGAACCAGTGATGCACAGCACCTAACAGGGATGGATAGTAGGCTGTGTGAATTCACAGAAGACCACTTGAAGAACCACAATTCAGGTCAGTAACTAGTTCTTCTTCATCATGGTCTCTGAAATTCACACCAGTGGGGGAATAGTAAGCTGCATCCCTGAATATGGGAAGTGGTTCAGAGATGTACAGATGAAAAAAACTGCTTTTTCAAATTCTACCTCCCTTTCAGAGCAAAGATTCTTATACCCAATATGCCTCATCATGTCATAGCACAGCTTGATGATAAGTATGACTAATCTAAAGAGGCAACAGTAATCTTTTGTCTGCTTCCCAATAACAAAAGAATGGACATGAGGCTTGCTGAAACCTCTTAAAAGTTAGAAGCAAATCCTTGAAGGACATTCAGGATGTGGAATGATGTTCTAAAATAATGATTTGAGAATGGAAAGAAGGACGGCCAAATAATTATCTAAAACAAATGGAACTTTGAGATTGACTTTGTAAGAAAATTCTGACTCAAGAATTAGCTTGCTATGAAAGATGAAATAAGATGGGTCTGAACATGAGATACAGAGCTCACTTATTCATCTGGATGATAAAACATTTTCTAGGATAAATTCTAGATACATTCCAAGTGGTAAATAGCAAGGAAAAAGGAAAATAATATGAACAATTTCATAAAAATTTGGCTTATATACCAGAAAACATAGAACTACCATCTTCACAGAAGTAGCATTCAGCAATCACCATTAGGAAAATTATTAATGAAACAAAAGTCAAGCTGGCATTTTTCACTTTTAATAAAAGGAACAGCAGATGAGGGACCTTTTTCTGGATGTGTTTCTTTCAGTCAGACTTGACTACTGCCATATAAATAGACAAGTCCATGAAGTTTTCCTGGCAAATCTTTTTGGAAATAGTATGCCATCTTTCTAGGGCTGAAAGGAAATGACTGGTCCAAAGACATTAGGTTGGCTATTGTGTCTAACGTAGGACTAGAACTTGTAATCTTGTAGTGAACTTTAATTCAGTGATAAACTGGCTCTCGTATGAGGAATATATCAAGCATGAGGATCAAAATATCTTTAGTGTAACATAGAAGATGTACAAAAGCCAGAGTCTGCAAAGACTTTACAAAGCATCAAAGAGATCTCACTGTTGGAAAGTGTTAGTCAGAAGGGGACAAAAAAATTTCCAGGGTATTGGATATACCATGGGACACAGTGAAAACAGACATGAACAAGTGGAGAAAATATGCAACAGTGACATTACCAAGAACTGGATGTCCCTCCATAATTGATGAAAAAAGAAGAAAACTGGTCTGAGAGACTGCCAAGAGGTCTACAGGAACATTAAAGTAGCTACAGGGATTTCTGGCAAGTACTGGTTGTGTACTATATGTGACAACAATCTCCCATATTCTTTGTATGTCTGGGCTGTGCGGTAGGGTGGCAAGACGGAATCTGCTTACAAAGAAAAACATCCAAGCCTAGCTACATTTTGCAAGCCTGACAAAAGCATCTAGAAAAATGTGTTATTATTTGATGAGACCAAGGTTGGCCATAATTGCAAAAAGTATGTTTGGCACAAAAACAACACTGCATATCACCAAAAGTACACCATACCCACAGTGAAGCATGGTGGTGGCAGTATTATGTTTTGGGGCTGTTTTTTTCAGATGGAACTAGGGCTTTAGTCAAGATGGAGGGAATTATGATCAGATCCAAATATCAGTCAATTCTGGCACAAAATCTTTAGGCCTCTGCTAGAATGCTGAAGACAAACACAACACAGCAATGACCTAAATCATTCCTCCAAATCAGGGGTGAAATCCAGCAGGTTCTGATAGGCTCTGGAGAACCGGTAGCAGAAATTTTGAGTAGTTCGGAGAACCGGCAAATACCACCTCTGGCTGGCCCCCGAGTGGGGTGGAAATGGGGATTTTGCAGTATCCTTCCCCTGCCACGCCCACCAAGCCACACTACACCACACCCACAGAAACCGGTAGTAAAAAAAATTGGATTTCACCACTGCTCCAAATCAACAAAATAATGCCTTTACCAGAAGATCAAACCAGACCTGAATCCAACTGAAAATCTGTGAGCTGAAGAGGATTGTGCACAGGAGATGTCCTCACAATCTGACAGATTGGACTGTTTTTGCAAAGAAAAGTGGGCAAGGGTTCCCAAGGCTGATAGGTTCCTACCCCAAAACATGGAATGTGACATAAAATCAAAAGGTACTTTAACAAAGTATTAGTTTAAGGGTATACATACTTATGCAACTATGTTGTTGTATGTTTTTATTATTATTTTCCTCCCTAAAAGATTTCAATTTGTTTTTCAATTGAATTGCACAGCTTACATGTTATATTAAATGTAGAAAAAAAAATGGAGGTGATTTAAATTGGTCTCATTTTTTTTACAGCTCAAAAAACATTTTAACAGGGGTGTTTAGATTTTTTATATCCACTGTATGAAAAAAAACACTGCATGAAACATATTGGTCTTATGTCTAACAAAAAAGAATTGAAAAGATTAATGTGAAGTATGATTACTCTATGGATTTGGACAGGAAGATGAAGCTACCACAACAAGTTCAAACTCTGGGAAGTTCAAATGATTGAGCAGACACAGAACCTATTGGTGTGGATCACAGAGAACAAAACTATTACTTTTTATTAGTAAAACAAACTCCTATTTTAACCCCATATTAACATGGAATAGAATAGAATAGAATTCTTTACTGACCAAGTGTGATTGGACACACAAAGAATTTGTCTTTGGTGCATATGCTCTCAGCGTACATAAAGAAAAAATAAAATATATTCATCAAGAATCATAAGATACAACACTTAGTGATTGTCATAGGTTACTAATAAGCAATCAAATTGTACTAGGAAACAAAACAATATACATTGTAAAGATACAAGCAACATGATTATAGTTATAAGTGGGAAGAGATAGGTACTAGGAAGGATGAGCGGAATAATACCAACACAGTCTTAGTAATGAATTTAACAGTATTGTGGGAATTAGTTGTTTAGCAGAGTGATTGGCATTCGGAAAAAAACTTGTGTCTAGTTGTTCTGGTGTGCACTGCCCTATAGTGTCATTTTGGGGGTAGAAGTTGAAACAATTTATATCCAGGATGTGAGGAGTCTGTAGATATTTTCACAGCCCTCTTTTTGACTCCTGCAGTATACAGGTCCTTAATGGAAGGCAGGTTGATAGTATTGTTTTTTCTGCAGTTCTAATTTTTTTTTTTTTTTGCTTTAATTTATATGCCGCCCTTCTCCGGAGACTCAGGGCGGCTTACAATGCTTTAAGCAATAGTCAATTGTATCCGTTGAATACAGTTAAGTTTAAGAATTGAAGTCTGGCATAATTTTGCATAAAGCAAAATTCCACATAGCAACTTTTGCAGAAAAGATATATTCATCCCCAATAAATTAGCTGTAGCGTAACTTGATTATACTGACAATGCAAAAATACCTAACTGAAATATACAGTATATTACAAATACAATCAAGATAAACATTCCCAATGAACACAACTATACAATCTAAAAGTCTATATTCCATTATAAACATATTTGGGAGAAAAGAATTAGGTTGCTTCAACAACTCATATATCAAACTAATATAGCAATTTAGGAACTGACATCGCAAATATAAAAGTCAGACTACAATCACTTAAGAGAATTTAAATTATTTTGTTCAAATAATCTTATAAAGACCCAAACGCAAACCTGTAATAATTATACCACTTACTTTGTATTTTTTAATGGTAGATTTATTTGTTATCCTTGGTTACCCTATAGATAATTCTTAGTTTATTTGAAGCTTATAGGAGAAACAAGTTTTATTTCCTCTGTTCTACGTAAAACATTCTTTTATGGCTGAAAGTCTACCCACATTCTTATCCACATAACCTATTATCCACCAAAAAATAATCCCTTTGTTATACTGTAAGACAAATTATGGATTTGAAAGGTTGTATGCCAGAGTTAATTGATGGAATGGCTTATAAACCCTATAAATAAAATTAATAAATATAATAACATTTTTAAAATAGTGGATTTGGGGGGCAGGATGTACAAGCACGCATTTGTATTACCCATGTATATTGAGCATTTGGCAGATAGTGGTGTAGAAATGCTCTCATGTTAATCTGATACTTAAGTCTTTTGTATGTTGTGCCAATATCAAACTTGGGTGGGGCGTTGGACTAGATGACCTACAAGGTCCCTTCCAACTCTGTTAATCTGTCTGTTTTAATTTGTCAGCTCTTGAAGAAGATGACCTGAAAATTCAGAATAAATTTCACATAGAAAGAGCTGCACATTTGTTCAGTCCCTTATAAGATGTAACATATAGCTTAACCGATTGTATTGAAGGAAGTCTCATGTTCTTTATATTCATGGGAAATTCAAGGGCACTACACAAACACTACCATAATTTATAAAAAGTCTTCCAACTGAGCTGTGTTAGATTTTATATATCAAGAAATATAAAACAGAAATATTCTTACTTGTTCCAGTGAGTCTTTGAATTTCGATACAAGGATGGAAACATGATAGGTAAAATCTTAGCTGCATTGTCACTGATTAAGCTCATAATATATTCATTATTCCAGTAGTATAGTGCTCGTTCTGCCACCTAAGATACATGAGATAGTTAGCCATTTAGCATGTTATACAAACCACAGAATTTCTACTATATTCTCTTTTTGATGATGCAATTGTGCTTTGATCTTATTTGAGCTATTTCTTGCAGTTCATCTGTTCTCTGCATGCAACATCTATTGTATATAGATGGTGGTATGTGATTGGTAGCTGCTAGAAGTGCCACTACTCAATTATCTACTGCTCACAGAAATGCCAGAACTATATTCTGACAATATCCTTTTGCTAATGTCACAGAAAAGGCCTTCACAATTTATAGCACCCGATTTAACACATTTTCTGCCATGAGGTTGCCTTTGAAAAGCTGCAGCATATTGTTCTGGTCAGAAATATGAGCTGGTTGCTGAGCACACAGATCATAATCATGTGACTGGCAGGCCTGCTACATCACCCAGAACACCAAGGACCAGTTGTAACAACCACTCATCCAGCACTGTTGCAAGTTCAAACAGTCACTGAACAAGTAGTCATTAAAGACTATCTGTAATTCAAAGTGACTAATAACTGACTATTGGCATGCCATGTTAATTTTTTTTTAAAAACCACAGAATTAAATGTATTAAAATGACCAACCTGAAAGTGTGGACTTGAGACGCACTTTGCTAGCTGCCTGAAAAGAGGTTCCATAACCTTCACAAATTCAGTTGGTTCGATAACATCTAAAATTTCTTCTAATTCATTTAAAAACATAACTTCTTTTGGACTATGAGTCTTTGGCCAGTATTTGAGTAGCGCCATCACCACCTGAAAATAAAATATGCAAATATCTAGGTTTCTAATTGCTTGCCTCAAATATTACTCTTATATATCATTAATGCCATATATAATACATATTCATAATTCATAATACATAACCAGTAAATAGGGGATTACAAGGAAACTTTTGATCTTTTGACTGAGTTAGTTTGAGGTACTGACTTCAGCAAACATGACTGAACAAAGTTTTGAAATTTTCACAAAGAGTGATCTCAAAGGAAGAGTACTGTTTATTCAAGTGAGAAATTCTTATTTTCTTATTTAGAACTTTTTTGTATATGTGCAGAAAATAAACCCAAGTCAGTTAAGAGAAATCGAGCATAGTGATTGGGGCTTCTGGAGATTAAAATGTCTATTATTAATTCTTTTTTAAATCTCCAAATAGTGCAGTATTTAAAACCAGTAATTAATTAATAGATAACTAATACTTCAAGTAATGCTCAATGGCTTATTGCCTGTATATACAATACTTATTTCTATGTATATTTATTTGTATTCTGCCTTTCTTATGTTTACAAATAACTTAAGGTGGCAAACATATATAATATTCCATCCTCCTCCTATTTTTTCCACAACAAAACTGTGAGTGAGAGAGAGTTACTGCCCCAAGGTCACCCAGCCAGCTTTCATGCTTAAGGCAGGACTAGAATGCATGGTCTCGTGATTTCTAGTCTAGTGCCTTAACCATTAGAAAAAAACTGGCTCAACAGAGAGGTAAAAACCCGTAATAATAGAAACAACAACAAAACCAAAGAATAAAGCATTATTGCTGCTTTAGGTTGTTGCCATTTACAGCTTCAATGCTTAATAAGAGATTAAAACAATTACATTTATAGTTAATACCGTGTTTACCTGAAAATAAGACCCTGTCTTATATTTTTTTGAACCCCGAAATAAGCACTTGGCCTTATTTTCAGGGAGGTCTTATTATTTTGGAGCACATGGAGCAAGATGGGGCTCCTCTTGCCATATTACCTGATTTCCAGCTCTGCGTTTAAATATTTTCTGGGAGGCTTATTTTCGGGGGGAGATTTATTTTAGTTCATACGGTCAAAAGCCCGATTGGGCTTATTATCAGGGGATGTCTTATTTTCGGGGAAACAGGTTATGTTCATGATATAAAATAGTGTGAAATTTCTCTAAGATACTAAATGTGGGGATGTATTATGAAATAATAAAATTTCTTTTATTCTGGTATCTTTTATTATTTCCATTTTCTTCTGAGACAATGCAATCCAGAAAAAGAAATTTAAAAATGAAATATGTGTGTCTATGTTTGCTAATTAATGTGATCACTTTTATAGAAGTAGATTAAAACCAGAACTATATATACAAATATTAATCTGTAAACTCTAACTGTGAACAGTCCACAAATTGTTCAATTTTAAATAATTTTTAAAAGCACATTGTCTTTCAGTTTAAATTGTTCAAGTTGTATCATTCTGAACATATGATATGAATAGTGCACTGTGCAAGTTATCTGTTGCAGATGCTGAAGTAATAAGATCACAATTTTAAAAATATGCTGTTTAAATAATTAGATATTTTTAAAAGGAAGAAGAAAAACTAGACTTACTGGCTCAGTAAGTGTGCTGTCCTTTTCTAAAAACTGAACTACGCAGTAAGCCAGCTAAATTGAGAGAAGATAATAATGTTATTAAGCTGTGGTTCAATAGAAATCTAACATTAATATAGAATGTTTATCTAGGGTGAATAAATAAAACAGAATTTCAAACCCAAAAGACCACAAAAGAAAAAAAAACATCTGAATTTGAGAAAATTTTTAGTGAATGTTTGAAAAATATAACAATAAAGGAATATCTGAAAAATAGAAGTAAAATCATCAGTGGAGAAAAATCTAAAACCACAAACACTTAATTGTTCTTAAAAATGCCTGGCAAAAATAAAAAATAAAAGACGACTTAGAATCGAAAAAGCAATGCCATGTACAAATAACATGTACCAGAACTGCATAGATTTTTCTAAAGTAACATTTTTGAGGCCTCAGGTGATAGTCAAGTAAGAAACTTTCTTCTGCTCATGTAGTGATGCCATTGCATGTATTTGCCATGGCAAATACATTTTTCTGGGATTGTGAGTGTAGCTTAGTACTCAAAGTTCAGATTAATCCTGAAAGTACTCTATATGCACCCCCATATATAAATTGTTGACTGAATATGATGAAGTAGTTTGTATATTTCAGACCTCAACAACAGAACTCATTTAATATTCCAGGTTCTAGATCTAGACATTTCAATGTTGCACTAACTATGGCAATTAAAGCTCGAATTGAGAAATTTAGTTTTCACATACAGATAAAGTAGCTTTCCGGGTGTCTTCTATTATTATGTTTATCTATTTCATCAGATTATGAGATATTATATTATACTGCAATGCACATTCATACATAACAGCAAATCACACAAAAATCTTAGAATATGGGTAGAGCAAATCTAACGATGCTGAAGTGGAAATAATATATATGGCAGAGGAGATGCTACTTTCCATGCTTGTCTGAACTCACATAAGCCACAGGTAGAGAATAAAATTATTTAAAAAAAATACTAGGCATTTATTTCAATTTCTTTCTCTACTGTTCTATAAATAAATATAGTACTGTTCATTAATTAGTACTCTTAATTATGTTCTTACTAGCAACAGTTCAATTTGGGTCATTAATCCTACCTGCATTTGTATACTAGACTCCACACGCTACTCCTACCAAGCTGTAGCTACTAACATACAAAGATTCTGATTTCTGTACTCTACTAGATGAAGCATATTTCTTCATAATCACATAATGAACTTCTATCACTTCAAGTGAGGTGTATTCCCCAATGAAGCAGTAGTAATTTACAATGTTATTCAAATAAATGAAGCTGTAGGAAACGGTACTGAAGGTTACAATCTCAATTATATTCTACAGGTAATCATTAGAACGTTAAACTGTGTCTGTAGAAAAATGCACATCACTTTACTTCTTGTTAGAAAAATGCCATGCCTGTTATTGCAGATTAATCCCTTTTATTGGGATGGAGTCAGGATGATTGAATGGAGTCGAGTGTTTACTGGCCGGATGCTCTTCCTGACATCTATGTGGAGCTTGAAGCAGATATTTTCTCTTTGCGCCCTAATAGAGAAACATCTGTCGCTGCCTAATATTGAACTCTGTAACATTCCGAGTGGGAGGCAAGCATCTTCATCTCTAGACCACTGCACCACTTTTATTATTTATTTTTAAGGACCAAGGACAGAGAAAATACCCAAATAAATACTCACAAAGAAGCATTTTATTACTTATCCAAGAAGTGCATATTCATCTATTTTAGCAGTTTTCTTGAGAAAGCTTAAAATGCTTGTAATTAAAAAATCTTCAACTTAAACAAAGCAATTTAACAATTAAGTAAAAAAATAAATCCCATAAGAAAACATACATTTTCAGAATTAAAAATCATTTTCTTTATTTCATAGTTTCCTACTTAAAATTTGCAGTTATGTAATTCATCAATAATATGAAAACAACAAGTACACATCAAACTATTTACCTGTGGATGATAGACACTGAGTGATTTTACTTTGTGCAAAGGTAGTAATACCTTGAGAAGGAAAATTTTGTGCTCTTCTTTTAATGGTAAGGCAAATCCATTGATTATACTGAAGAAGAAAAAAGTGCTTTAGAATCAGAAAATATATTGTATTGCTGCATTTCAATTTCATTTTTTAAAAAAGAAAAACATGTGCTTTAATTCAAGTGCTTTTGTTAGACTTCTCAAATAGCTTACAAATACAAATAAAGGCAACAATTTAGGAATTATTTCCCAGACTTCTGTAATGGTAAAGCATGACCCCATTTTGCTACACCAATTCCAATAACTTTTTCAGTTATAACTGACAGAAGCTATGCAAAATGTTTATTGTTTTGTTCAGTCCAAGATCCATTGTTACTCTTTATAAAACCCAAAAAGCTTTAAGTTTAAGCAGCAGTATTTATTATGAAGCATAACTATTAAGCAGTTTACCTTCCCAATATTTCCAGTAATTCTGCTATGCCATTGTGATGTTCTGTTTCATAAATAAACCTGAGAAAACAAATTCATTATCATCAATGATGCAATTTATTCAACAATATGCTTAGTTGGATAAAAGGCACAAGCACAACTTACTTTCATCAATTTAAAACCATATTGTGCATATTTGTAGATTCAGAATTTTTATTCAATTGAATTTTGTATTAATTTTTTTTATTATAATTGAGGAGAGCTAGGAAAACAAAGGGAAAGATATCAGAAAAATATACACAGTGTTACATAAGGTTATTTTAAATTCAAGGAAAACAAGGGATATCAATAAACTGGATTTTTAAACTTGTCTGACTATAATGGAATTAGAGAATAGAAGTTAGATTATAATCCAGTACTTGCTTTGAATAAAGCACTCTGAACACAATGGAAACTATTTCTAGATTGGAAATAAAAGACTTGTGATAGTCACAACATTAAAGGAAATAGATTTTGGTGTGCATGGACACAATTATCAAATCATATGCTGAATATATAGCTCTAGTAAATAAAAATGTTATATTTTTGAAAAGATAATTGAAGGACCAGCTGTTTTTTGAGGAGCATCCAAAGGGCATTAGAAAAAATAAAATGAAAAAACTTTAATAGAAATAATGAATACTATGCAGACTATGTGGAAGAAAGTAAGCATTATTTTCAATGCTCGAAATTAAAACAAAATAATTTCAATCAAATTCCACCAGATGATGACAGCCAAGAACAGAACCAGTGTGAGAAATACCACCACTAGAAAAATACAAGGAAGAGACATTGAAAATGGATTTGGCCCTATTAGGAAATTAAAAAAAAAAAAAAAGATGAAACAGGCTTGAGTTATATATAAATTGAGTTACTACTTTGAACAAAAAAAAAAAAAGATATGCAAGTGTATGTAATGCCTCAACCTTTAAGACTCAAAATGTAATAAAAATTAGTATCTTAAATAGGATTACCTACTCATTCTTTTTGCAAAAGTAAAGCATGTGCTAAAATGCAGACATAGCCTAAATAGCTGCATACCTGGCTGGCTGATACAGGTAGTCCTCGACTTACAACCACAACTGAATCCAAAATTTCTGTTGTTAAGTGAGACATTTGTTAAATGAGTTTTGCCCCATTTTATGACCTTTCTTTCCACAGTTAAGTGGGAGAAGAATCACTGCAGTTAAGGTAGTAACAAGATTGTTAAGGATTCTGGCTTCTCCATTGACTTTGCTTGTCAGAAGGTTGTAAAAGTTATCACATGACCCTGAAACACTGCAACGGTCATAAATATGAGTCAGTTGCCAAGCATCTGAATTTTGATCACATGATCATGGGATGGTGCAATGGTCATGTGAAAAACTGTTATAAGCCACTTTTTTCAGTGCTGTTGTAACTTTGAATGGTTGTAAGTCGAGGACTATATGGAGACCACTTTTGGACTTTCTACTTGAGGTGGAAAAAAAATGAAACTTTGATTTTGGGTTTTATTGATTAGATTGATGTGTTGTTATAGACATGGCTAGTTTATGTTGTTTTGGAAAAGTAAAAAGTTGAGGTTCGATGTTAATGCTTTATTCTAGTACAACAGAGGGAGTTGGAAGTCAATGCTTTTTTTATTTTATTGTCTCCCTCCCCACCTCATTTTCTTTCCCCTTTTTGTCCCCACTGTGTCCTATTATTTGCTTTCGTATTTTATATTTGTATTTTATTCTATAATCTAATAAAAATGTTAATAAAAGAAAACGACCTATATCACATTTTTAAAAGAATAAACTGAAAAGTAGAGAAAAGCAGAGATACTATTTCAAGATTGGATCTATTTTATAGCTGCTGCTATTTTTTTTGCATATAGGTCTAGAAGCATGATGGCGAACCTATGGCACGCCTGCCAGAGGTGGCACACAACGCCCTCTCTGTGGTCATGTGAGCCGTCACCCCAGTTCAGCTCCGCCACGCATGCGAGCATGCCTCCTGCCAGCCAGCTGGTCTTTGGGTCTCTGCCGCACATGCCCGGGGGGCATGTGGGGGGCCGTGCGCGCATCCACCAGGGAGGGACATGTGCAGGGGTGGGGCACGTGCAGGGCGTGGGGCACACACACGTGCCGGGCAGGGCGCATGCAGGGGTACACATGCATGGGAGAGCGTGTGGGGGGGGCGTGCCATGCGTGGGGCATATGCATGGGGGCACACACACATTGCATTTTGGGGGTTCAGGCGTGCGTGCTTTGGATACCCGGTCCAGAAAAGGTTAGCCATCACTGGTCTAGAAGAAGACGTTTGGGGCAATGATTTAAGGAAAGTAAGCCTTCTAGGAATCTCAAAATTCCTAGCCTAAGTGGCGCAGCAGACTAATGCTACTGTTAAAAGGTAGTATTTAGCTTCCAGCTGCCTGCAATTACTGTGAGTTCAATTCTCACCAGGCTCAAGGTTGACTCAGCCTTCCATTCTTTCTAAGGTAGGTAAAATGAGGACCCGGTTGTGGGGGCAATAAGCTGACTTTGTATAAAATATACAAAAGTATGAAGGCTATTGCTTAACGCATTGTAAGCCACCCTGAGTCTCTGGAGAAGGGTGGCATATAAATCATTTTTTTTTTTTAAAAAAATACAATTTTAATTCTTAAAAAGGGGAAAAAAATACCCTCCAAAACTACAAGCATTGGAGACGTATTTAACCTCTCTTTGCTGTTGAACTGATTATCTTCTTTAAAATATATTGTGGGGAAGCGGGGTTTGAATCTTATACAATTACTGGGAGGTCTATTATTGCATTTTGGCATCAGAATGCATTTCAACCCTTATCTTTAAATATTTGGCAGCTACATTAAGATTGGTTTCCAACAAAGGCAAGCAAAAGAAAAAAAATCATAGGATAAAGAAAAATATTGTTTTGCTGTCTCACAAAGATGATTAAATTCTTCATATTTGCTAACTATTTTGGAAGGCAAATCAGGGAGGATCATTAGGTTTTTACTTGTATATTCCAGCAGTTTTGATTTTCTAGAGCACTGCAGGATATTAAGATCCTCCTAAATAACTTTATTACAATTGGACTTATGATAAGGTTGAAATCTTGATGAAACCTGACATATTGCATTAATTCCAACAGAGCTCGAATTGATTCACAGGGATGGTTCTTTGCAATGTCTACAAGAAGCTTCTCGTCAGCAATATAATGAAGACAGAAAACTCTGAGCTTCTTCCATAAATGGTCTTGAATCTGTATAAGCTCACCTTAGTGTGCCAACTCCTCAGAATGCATTTTTCCCCATTTTTGTAAAGTCTGTTTTCATGAAATTCAATTGGAATTTTTCTGAAGCCTTTTCATTTCCTTTTAACTGAAAATTAACTTTTGTTGGAGTATATCAGTGTTAAGGACCTATATTGTAACTTCTGCTTATCGATTGCATTAAAAGTATAGTTCAATGTTTGATAACTCTCTTGGCTCTCTTCCTCTAATGGAAGCTCTGGAGTTAATAGCTGCATGTGAACCATATAAATCATAATCTATCAACTGAGTCAATAGCCTCTTCAGACGGAGCAGGTTTCTCAGGAACTAGCCTTGTAATAGCCACAAACTAGGAGTTAGCTTATGCTGACAGGCAAGATAGAAGGAAGTTGTGTTTGTTTTCCCCTGATGAGGCATATTTCCTCCCCAAACATCAAAACTCACTAGATGATATAAGTAACATTTTTTGTTTGCCATTTTTTAACAAACAATTCAAGTATAGTTTTTGAGCAGCTCAATGAGAAAGAAAAAATGAAGTGTAATTAACATACTGTAAATTAATCTCGTTCACAAGTCATTTTTGGGAGGCTTTCTTTAGCCTTTTAGGTTTTTTCTTTATTTGTATGGCTATGGCAATGTTTCTTATTTTTATTTCCATTTAATTTTTAATATACTGTACATAAGTATGCTCTGAGTCGCTGAATATAGTTATCTTTTTCTTGATCCAAGTCATCTTGAGTACTCTCATTATTTTGAACAATTTTAATTCTTTCATGAAAATTTAAGATCTAAACTGTAAATATCAAAGAAGAGAATTTTTTTTTTTAACAAATTGAAACCTAAGTAGTTTTTTCTGTTATTGCTACAAAAATAGTGTTTTCTTTATGGAAACATTTGTGGTAACATACTGATATATATCTGTGGCAAATTTTACTACAGGAGTTGCTATTTGATTTAAGATTTTTTAAAATTGTAGAACTATTTTTTTTTCATATGCCAAAGGCTATTTTATATAATGTTGGCTATTAAAGCTTTTCAGGGTTTCATTGGTTAGTTATATAAAAAAAAATCAGTAGTTAGTTTTAAAAGTCAGAATATTTTGTGGGAATATATGGGAAAAATTTAATATTGCAGGTTGAAAAAGAAATATAACTTCTAACATTTGTTTCATTCTAGTATATATAATTTTCTAGAATTGCTGGAACATTGTTGCCAAAGATGGAAGAATAATCTGAATTGATCATTATATTTGTTAGAAAATGGTCTACTTTAACAATCAGAATTGGAGCAATATATCAGTGATAAAACGTTAGTTTTCTCTATGATATTTAATTTAATTTTCATGTTCTTCCATTGAAAGTACCAATGTTGCATACTATTACATTTACATTCTGCATTGATTTATTAATACAGTATTTAATTTGTTTGGTTTCTGAGTTAGACTGTATTAATAATTTGTAAATAGGACCCAATTATTTTTGTGTGATAAGATTTTCAGGCTTAGTCAATTTTTCCCTTGTTTCTGTAGCTTTTTAAATACTAGAGTACTCATTTGAGGACAATGGAACCAGACAGGTAGTTAAGGCCATTCCAAAGTAAAAGCCTGAAAAGATTTATCTTTATCCTAATCAAATCTTATAATTGAAGCATTAGTTTTCCAAAACCTAACCTCCTAATTATAATGTGATTATTATCTTTACTTGAAAACTAGAATATAAACCTTATAAATAATTAAGTCATTTATATATCCCATTTCAGTTTAAATCTTTTTCAAACAAGGACGTTGATGGGATGATATTGTACATTCAAGCATTATTGTCATAATTGCAACTGACATTCCTTCTTTCAGGAGAAATCTTTACTTCTGTCTTTGGTACATAGACAAAAGCTGGATCACACAGATAACACTTTTTCACTCTTATTTCCATTTCTAACTCATCTATCTGCAGCTGGTACTTCTGTGTTTTATAGATGATTGGCCAAAGCTGTGGCACAGCTGGTACTACTTTCTTTAAAGGGGTTCTGCCATATGTTTTCTTTTGGGAAAACTTTGGCAATGGGGAAAATGTACAAAAGAAAAATGATAAAATATAGTGCTTCTACAGCTTTGAATGAACAACTATTTGTAAAGCACTCTGCAATATACTGTCTACATATCTTCTGTACATAAAAAAATTATCCTGCTATTAATTCACATACCAAAATGAGGTAATACAGTATTGTTAAAAGTCATGGAACTCCAGTTTTAAGTAAATAAAAAATGCTTTGGCCTGCCTTTTAGAAAGAAAATTACATTACTAGCTATGGGATTGACCAGACATTTCATGAATTTTATACTTGTTTGATTTTAAGAACATTTTTGTTTTCTACCAAAAAAGTTGTAACATGATTAAAATACTTTACCTATTACTGAGCATCAGCACAGAATATAGACATACCTATAAAATATGTTGTTAATTTGCTTCCTGATGTAAGCTCTTAGGCCTAAGAATTTTCCATATATTCTGTGCAGAGTAGTCTTAAGAAAATCTCTTTCACGAGGATCCTCACTGTCAAAAAGCTCTAAAAGCTGCAAAAGATGAACATTTATTTGCTTAATCCATTTCAAATTAAATGGAACTTTGTTTGAAGATATATTCTTTTTTAACCTCACCTGCAATACAAACTTCTGATCAATATATTTCTTAGCTATATTGGGTTGGAAATCTGGAGATTCTAAAAACCTTAAGAAAAATTCATATACAAGCTGAAAAAGATCCACAAAAATAAAAATTAGTTTTACAATGTAAATCAACTTGAATTTTGAAAAGCTGTTAAGACAATACTAAGTTTTAAACACTTTCCAAGACAGACCCAAAATCATAACAAGATGAATACAGGTAATCCTCGACTTACAACAGTTCATTTAGTCACTGTTTGAAGTTACAACGGCACTAAAAAAAGTGACTTATGACCATTTTTCACACTTATGACCATTGCAGCATCCCCATGGTCATGTGATTTACATCTGAATGCTTGATAACTGACTCACATTTATGACAGTTGTAGTGTCCTGGGCTTATGTGATCCCCTTTCGTGACTTTCTGATAAGCAAAGTCAATGGAGAAGCCAGAATCACTTAACAACCATGTTACTAATTTAACAACTGCAGTGATTCAATTAACAAATGTGGCAAGAAAAGTCATAAAACTTACTTAACCATTTTCTCTCTTAGCAACATAAATTTTGGGCTCAGTTGTGGTCATAAATTGAGGACTACCTGTACATGCAAGATTAATTCCTTCAGCTTTCTATGTTCTTCTTGTTTTGTTTTGTTTTAGACCATAAACCATCTTGAACCATTCATTTTACTCAGGCTTGGCAGGAAGTTGTTCAATTCCATTTCCCAATAAACATTTACTATATTAATTTCATTATGTTTGCAGTTCTGAGCCAATTAACATGCAGTGACTACTCTGAATTGTAGATAAAATGTTGGAAGATGAATGCAAAAATGTACATTCTCCAACAGAGGTTTAACTAGGGACAATACATGTATCTGGGATGTGCTGGAATTGGTTTTAACAAATATCTGAAATAAAAATTATATATAAATAAAAGCTAGATGGATTTCCCATTGTATTTTATGTAAAAATATAATCGCTATTGTAGTTGGTGTGAATTTACTACTTTGCTGCACCATTTAAGACTACCTGACACATGCCAGAGATACTGGGATTAGAAATTCTAGTATTCAGAGCTAGAAAAGGTATCCATTATGAAGTTTAAAACCTATGGAACTGTAATTTCAACAAATCTGGAAGATGCCAGTTTAGGAAAATTTGGAAAAGTAACTATGAGATGGGAAGAGAAAAAAGATTGACCTTTTAATCATGGAGTATCACAGCGGGTCAGTGGGTTTGATGTGAAACCCAAACTATTTTACTTAAAATTATATGAATATTTACAATTGCATTTATACCTTCTGTTCAATGAACCACAAGTACCACAAATCTTACCTATGTTTAAAGCTTAAATCTCAAAATTATAATCTTATTAAGATCAGCAACATTGCATTAAAACATACTAATATTTTACTTATTTAAACATTAATCTAACTGCACAATGAAACAGCAGTGTTAGAATACATTAATATGCAGACTTTAGACCCAACCAGATGAAAAAATTCAATATCTAGATGTACATGTTCATTCCACAGTTTGCACTAATTTTGCTATTCCTGAGTTAGAGTGAAAGTATGTATTTCAGTTCTACCTGTAAGTGAGGCCAGGCAGCTTCTAAAGTTGGTTCATCTTCCTCTGGGTCAAATTCTGCTCCCGTTGGATTGGATGAAGGGGGTAGTGTGCGAAACATGTTAACTGCAAACTAAAATCACACTTGATTAAGCAAAAGTATTTTTAAAAATATGTTCTTGCATAAATATTTTTAAAAACAACTAAGAAAATACAAATGTATGATAACTTCTCCTCTATTACAGAAACTTTTCTTTTAAGAAGTTTCTCAGAAAATTCTAATTTATTAAGAGGGGGGAAAAATAAACAACCTAGAATCTTAAGAGGAAAATGTCAATTTAGAAAAAATGAAATTAAATGTCAATTTAAAACATAGTTAACTACAAGAAAAGTATAATTTATCATAGAAGTTATGCATTGTTTGTGCACCACCCAATTATGTTTTTTGAGGTGGGCAGCTACATCGATTTGCTAACAAAAAAAAAAAAAAGATTTTGTTAATGATCTGTTTCAAATTTTCTTGCACAAAATATCTCTTTCTCCATTAAAGTTAATTCATATTAAAAATTATTCTTGTGCTCATTAGAACAACACTTATTGAGAGAAGCACTTCATCCTAAACTATTGGTGTAAGAAAGTTGAAGTATGGAAAGACTTTGATTAAAATCTCATTTTAATATGAATTTGTAGGTAATAATTAGATAAAAACTGGCAGACGAAGATCCATAATCTTCAAAAATTATCCCTAGCAGATCATCTTCCTAATAAAATGTACTAAGTTTTGAACTGCAGTGTATCAGTGTCTTGGTACTGGCTTTCTACTGTACATCAACTTCCGAAGAGATAGTGAGCATCTTGAAGCTTTAATGATTGAATGAATGATTCCATCTTTTTGTTCCAGCGTCATACCCTCCAAAGAAAAGTCACACGATTGCTAAATTTTGGCAATATGATCAGTAGATCTCTAGGGGGCATTAACTGGAAGCTCAATGCTATATGTGGTTTGCATGCTGCTTATTCCCAATATATAATTTAGGGTGAATTGAACTACTGGTATGTTGTTCACTTACGAACCAGTCTGGAAGATGGAGAATTGTTTTGGATCCAATGTGCCCAAGCAGTGGTAGTATGAGAAACTTTCTCTGCTAGCTCTGGTTAACACCTCACCACTTGCTAGACAAAGAGCATATGTCTACAGTGATACCAAAATAATTTCTGGTTGTTGTAATACACAGGTTCTTTAAAAGTGCCCTGTATGAGACTGCCTATGAAAACTGTTCAGAAATTATTCAAAATAACCTGTCAGACTGCTATTGGAGACAAATGAAACTCAAGGATCTGTTTTCAAAGTTTGGGATCCATCTCTTGGTCATCATTTCCTCCTATTTAGGCTTATTTGTATGTTATTCAGACATAAGTTGCAGTGTCTCTTCACAAATTTAATTGCAACGAATGGGAACCTCCATTTCCCAACAAAAAAAGAACCACCATCTAAAATGTTGTTCTTTATCATGGAATTGGGCTGAGAACTATCTGAAGTAAGACCTCAATGACTCTATGCTAGCTTTAAAGCTGTGTTCTAATAGTCCTTGCAATAAATGCAGATGTTATTTGTTTATTTTGCAAGCAAGTCTCCCAACCTTAACTTCTCCTAAAATACTACTGGGGTTGAAGAAGACCCCAGGGTCAATGATAAGCTTAAACTTAAATAATAAATTTAGAATGTATTTATGTACCATGCAAATTCTAATAAAATTAACATCAGGATCTATAGGACCAAAATAAACACTCCACTCTTCATACTGGTACTAATAACTGAACATAAACTGTTATTAGAAGTTAATTATTTAGTACGTATTTGATTGTACAATACTATATGCTTCCAAAAGCCAAACCTCTTCTGTTATTGTTACATATGAGAAATCTTTTTAGCAGAATAAGTCAAAAGGAAGGGTTTTTAAAAATGTTTATTTAAGTTTAAATAACTTACCATATGTACTACTTCTGGGTAAATGGGCTCAGTAATTACATTGCGATTATGCGTGATGTACTCTACCATTTCACTTAAAGCTGCTCGCTTTACTTCTTTCCACTTCAGGTCACTTAGTGGATCAGAAACAAAGTCGAAAAGGACACAACATTGTCGCAATTTCTGAATAAAAAGCTTTTCTTGCTCAGCGGGGGGAACATCTGAAAAGATTTTTTAAATTGTTATACTTCTTTTGCTTGTAAATCTTTGCATTATAATGAATATAACAAGATCTACTGAAGACAAACTCATTCAGTTGTTGACATTTTGTTTAATGCTTATACATCATAGTCCTCTTTCCTTGGGTTTAAATATTCATCATTTACAATATACATCACCTAACCTGAAATTTGATTTTTCCTCCCAATTTAAAATTCTCTTACCTGACCTAGAAAGTTGATATTTGTTATATCCATCACATAGAACAGTCAATAGTGCACTGACTGTTTTATGTGTACCTTTCAAAACTCAGCATGTGAAAGTTCCCTCAGAAAGGACTGTACACAACAGAGTTAGCAAAGCAAAACAAATAAATCAGAATAGAGCTGGAAGGGACCTTGGAGGTCTTCTAGTCCAGCCTCCTGCTATATCATTTGAAGCAAGTGACTGTCCAGGCTCTTCTTAAAAATCTCCAGTGATGAAGCACCCACAACTTTTGAAGGCAACCTATTCCACTGGCTAATTGTCCTCAGTGTTAAGAAGTTTCTCAATTCCAGGTTGCTTCTTTCCTTGATTAGTTTTCACCCGTTGTTTCTTGTCCTGCTCTCTGATGCTTTGGAAAATAAATTGACCCCCCCCTTTGTGGCAGCCTCTCAAATACTAGAATATTACCCTGTTTCCCCCAAAATAAGACATCCCCTGATTATAAGCCCAATCAGGCTTTTGAGCGCATGGCAATAAGGCCAAACACTTATTTCAGGGTTCAAAAAAATATAAAACAGGGTCTTATTTTCGGAGAAACACGATACTATCATGTTCCCCCCCTAACAAAATGTTAGGACTTTTGAAACCAGCTGCAAAATGCTGTGGCAATATTACAGAAGAGCTCAGTCATGATGATCTGTTATATCCATGGGAGAAAAATGGAGTTGCTGTTGTTTTAATTGCCATACATTACTCAGACATGAAGCTAAAGTAGCAAAGTATCAGGAGGAGGGAGGAGGGAAGAAAAAGAAAAGGAAGAAGAAAAAGAGGAGGAGGAAGAAGAAAAAAGATGTAAGTATTGTAGTCTCTGGCAAGTATTTATTTAGAATAAAAATGTCACCTGACATTCTCTGTAAAAAAGAACAACAAAAGAATATGTGGTTCAGGGGCTCCATGGAGTTGTACTATTACATAGTAATAGGCACTGATGTACAGGGATGTTAGACTTAGATTAGTTTGGAAATCAATATCCTGGCTATACTGCTTGAGGTAATTCCTGGCATTTTCAAATTGTAATGGGCAAAGAGTCTCCAGTAGAAGACATGGAATCTAAAATTTTGTTAAGCCAAGTTGATTTAAAATGGTCTTTGAGAACATTCAGACTAGAATTGGTTTCTATGAATGCTCTGGCATTCATAGAAACCAACCCTCTCTCTAGCCGTAAGGCAGTATTCCTAATGCATCTTGGAACTACAAGGATAGGTTGTATAGCATTATATTTTTTTGAAGGGGGATCAGAAAAAAACAATTATACCACTAATACATTTGCAAAAACTTCCTCAAAGGAATTCCTAAGGCTTTTGATCTATTTCTTTTTTTTTAAAGATAGGAAAATATTTTTATTCAAACGGACATTTATAGAAATTACATCATCGATGTAGTCTACAAACGCAATTTACTAATTTATTCCAACACCTTTACATTACTTTTAAATAAAGTCTTGAGTAGGACTTTAAGTAAGTCATTAGAGATAATTATTGTGTAAGAATATATTAATAAGAAGTAAACATGCAGATTCTGTTCTGCTTTGCAAGCTTAAAATGAAAAGATTTGAAAGAATATATTTTCTTAAAATTGCAGGAAATATACTTCCTACGCTGACGTCTTTAAGCATAAATAGAAGACACAACTGTAGTGGGTAACTGATGACTTTAAGATTAATATTAAGTGATTAAACATTTAAAAGTCAATTAAACATTACATTAAAAGGGTTTGCTACTGTGTGTTCAGATTTTAGATATTTGATGTGGCTTAAAATGTCCGAGACTAACTTAACACAGGAGCACAGACAAGTAGAGATACAATGCTAAGTGAAATTCAGTTGCTGCTTTCGTCATTGTTACTAGGAGACCAGTGATAGCAAAGAGTTTAGTAATCACAGAGAAGTGCTAAATGATAGCTATTTATGAACAGAATACCATTCTTATGACAACTGGCTTGCTCTAAGATCCTTAAATATAAAGAGAAACTAGTGTTAACACATCACTTTAAATTGTATTGTTGATTTGGTTTAGCCTAGCTTGTTTTTTGAACCCACCGTGATTTTATTCAATATATTTTGATCAAATAATCTAGGTTTAGACAAAATTATCAACTTTATTTTACAGAAATTTAAAATGAAATTAAAGAGTGTTCTTCACATCTTTCCTAACATTGTTTAATGCAAATATTATTCTTGTAACATAAATTGCTAAAATTGAGTTTGCATATTCAGTTTAAGGAAGTATAAAAACTATAAGGGCAATGTTGTCAATTATAATAATAAAACATAATCATGGAAAATTATTAGATCAGATTTACTGTACCATACATTATGCTTTGTTATTGTGCTTGTGGCTGTCTATTATGAATACAATTTATGTTGATCCCAATCCCAGAATAACTTCTATTGTATAGCATCTTTATACAAGATGGTCTAATTTAATATTAATTAAAAACATCACTCTACAAATAAATGTTTTCTTTAAACAACTAACTGTACTACTACTAAAAGGATGGCAAAATTACCACTCAGCAGTGTTTTCAGGACTTACTGCTTTTGCTAGGATGACAAAAACACACATTATAGTTAGTTAGTTAGTTAGTTAGTTTATATTTATATACCGCCCTTCTCCCGAGGGACTCAGGGCGGTGAACAGCCATGGTAAAAACAATATGCAACAAAAATTAAAAGCTTATTAAAATAATTCAATCATCTGGCCAAATTTAAAATATCCAACTAAAATCATTTTAAAACCCCTTATCAAAACCCAATTTAAAAAACCTTTATCCTGTCAGACCAGCTTGCTGGAATAATAAGGTCTTCAGAGCGCGACGGAAGGCACGGAGCTCGGGGATCCTTCGTATGTCCAGGGACAGTTCATTCCATAGGGCTGGGGCCCCCACAGAGAAGGCTCTCCCCCTGGGGGTTGCCAGCCTACACTGTTTGGCTGACGGCACCCTGAGGAGGCCCTCTCTCTGGGAGCGTATTGGTCGGTGGGAGGCAATCGGTGGCAGAATGCGGTCCTGTAGGTAACCAGGTCCTAAGCCACAGAGCGCTTTAAAGGTGGTAACCAACACCTTGAAGCGCACCCGGAAGACCACCGGGAGCCAGTACAGCTCGCGCAAGAGGGGTGTTACATGGGAGCGACGAGTCGCCCCCATTATTACTCGCGCAGCTGCATTCTGGACCAGCTGGAGCCTCTGGGTGCTCCTCAAGGGGAGCCCCATGTAGAGAGCATTACAATAATCCAGCTGGGAAGTGATGAGGGCGTGAGTGATTGTGTGTAGGGCCATCAATCCCACCCTTTCAATTATATATATGATAGAATAGAATAACAGAGTTGGAAGGGACTTTGGAGGTCTTCTAGTCCAACCCCCTGCTTAGGCAGGAAACCCTACACCACTTCAGACAAATGGTTATCTAATCTCTTCTTAAAAACTTCCAGTGTTGGAGCATTTACAACTTCTGGAGGCAAGTTAACTAATTAACTAAGTCCACTAATTAATTGTTCTGCCAGGAAATTTCTCCTTAGTTGCTAAGTTGGTATCATACCACACATACAAAAGGGCTGCTTTGTCATGCTTCTTTCTTATCTTTGATGCTTTGCCATCCCGTGACTATTTCTTGAGAGTGTGAACAATCAGTGTATTCCTGAGCATACACAATAAAAATACAACTGATGATAGTCTTCTTACATCAGACTGAATGATGGAAATTGAATAAATGTTTACTATTCTTCGATGAATTGTAAGAGTTTATTTATTTATTTTATTTATATAACCACCTATTTACCCATGGCAACTCAAGATGGCTTACAGGAGCTGCCACAAAGCAGAGGGAGTCAAGCTATTCTTCAAAGCACCTGAGGGCAGGACAAAAAGCAATGGGTGGAAACTAATCAAGGAGAGAAGCCATAGCAAGTTCTGAACACCTTGGACTTTTGTCTGGTGGGAGGGAAATTTGTCCAGCATGTATTGCCTGTATTCTAGAAGTAGCTGCATAGACATGCACGCACACAGAGACACTCCATTCAGACTGAAACTATCCCCTTCACCTACCTCCTCACAAAGCTTCTCCTTTTTGCTCTATGGCGCTAAGGCCCAAGCAGTCACTCCCTGCTAATTCCATGGGGAAGGGGCATCCCCCTCAGGCAATTCCCTCACTTGAAGAAATAGCAAGAAAGATCTCCAAACCCCAACCCCTGACTGTGACTCACAAATGATGTTGCCCAGTTGCCCAGTAAAGCAGGATATGCTGCACTGGTGGTCTCATTAGTAGTAGTCTCAAGGCTCATTGTGTATAATTTTAAAAATACTAAATAGCTTGGATTGCACACTGGCTAACCTCAATTTGGACTCACAAGTCCTCAATGCACTAAAATAAGAGCTAAGGCAGGTTCAGTAACCAACACTTGGAAATGGGCAGCCTGTAATTTAAAGCAAAACCATGGCTGTGAAGAATTCTGGGACTTGTGCTTGCTTAAAACCTGACTGGAAGTTCACAGAAAGTGATATCTCCCTAATCTGATCAATTTTTAATCTTTTGCCAATAACATGTGTGTTCCTCCCACATATTTTGGCAAAAAGGGGGAATTATAGGAAGTTAGCACCCACCCCTCTCCTAGGAAAATGAAATATTCTAGGAAATATTAAAAAGGCAGAATATTATATTTTCCCTAAAGGAGAAACATGTTTCTAAAGACCAATTCAGAGCCTCAGCTCCCTGCCCCCCAGCAGATATTTTGGTACCAACCTA